GGTGAGGAGTGGAGAGCCTACGAGTGGATCAAGAAACACGGTGGCATCGCCAGCACCGAGTCCTACGGCACCTACAAGGGGCAGGTGAGGGGTTCCCCAGGTCTTGGGGGGCTTTAGAGCCGTGGTGGGGCTGGGCAGGATGGGTCAGAGGTGCTAAATGGGCTCTGGAGGTGGGGATGTCACCTTGTCCCCAGGCTCCCTGCAGTCCCAAGCACAGTCCAAAGCCAACCCCCAGGCTCAGTTTCATCACTGCATGTCTCAATTTCTCCTCTTGTGAAACAGGGACAAGGCTCCTCCACCCATGGGTGGTGTTGTAGGTCCCTCCATACCCCGGGGTGCAGGGATGGAGCAGGGATGGAGCAGGGCTGCCTGGGGACAGGGAGGTGGCTGCAGGACACATGCAACAGCCCCAAGGGCTTCGGGTGCAGAGCCGGTTCCCATCCCCACCACGGGGGTAGGGTGGCACAGAGGGGTCAGAGCCACGATGCTGCCACAGCCCAAGTCCCACATCACTGTGGACCCTGTACAGGGGCAAGCAGAGCTGCAGTGAGGGGACCTGGGGGCTCCTGATGGCACCCTGTCCCCCTCCCTGGTGCTGCAGAATGGCCTGTGCCACTACAACCAGTCTGAGATGCTGGGCAAGATCACGGGGTACGTCAACGTCACCTCGGGCAACATCACAGCAGTCAAAGCTGCCATCTACAAGCACGGCCCTGTGGCCGTCAGCATCGATGCCTCGCACAAGACCTTCTCCTTCTACTCCAACGGCATCTACTATGAGCCCAAGTGTGGTGAGCCGGGTGGTACCCAGGGCACAGGAGGAGCTGGGTCCCCAAGGAGACACCCCGGTTCCCCTCCTTGTCGAGCAGCAGGGGTTAGGAGGGGACCAGCCCCCCATCCCTCCCCTGTGCTGCAGGGATGCTCGCAGGAGGATGCTCTCCACATCAGCCATCATCTCCTGTGTTGTCCCCTGCAGCGAACAAGCCAGGAGAGCTGGACCACGCGGTGCTGGCCGTGGGCTACGGGGTCCTGCAGGGAGAGACCTACTGGCTCATCAAGAACTCCTGGTCCACGTACTGGGGCAACGACGGCTACATCCTCATGGCCATGAAGGACAACAACTGTGGCGTGGCCACCGAAGCCACCTACCCCATCCTGGCCTGAGCCACCCTTTGGTCTGCAGGGAGAGCCCTCGGGGATGCTCTTGGCACCCACCCCTGGATCAGCCCCTTGGGTGCCCACCACGCAGCGGGAAGCTGTGGGACATGGTGGGACAGGGCCATGGGGTTCTGGACAAGAGGACCCTGCTGTGGACTTGCCAATAAAGCCCCTGCAGTAACAGTGGTTTGCTTCCACGGGAGAGGTTCCGCTGCCGCAGACACAGCTCCGTGCCCTTTGCAGAGCCATTCCCAGACAGCCCAGACGAGGGGAGCGGCTCTTCCAGCCCTATCTCTCGAGGTGGAGCACAAACAAGCCCAGGGATTTCTGCTGAGCTGAGACATTCCTGGCGTGGGCTGTTGGGAAGGGGGAAGGCAGGGAAGGCATCCAGCCTCTGCCCCCCTGCCTGTCGTGGGTGGGGGCACG